AAGAAAGAAAGAAAGAGAAAGGAGGAATTGCTACATGGTCTCAGTTCCATTAATTACCATCATACTTTAACCTGTGTATGTGGGTAGCTAAAGAACTTAATAGCTTTTGGGGAGACAACTCTACATGAAAGTTTGAGAAGCTCATATTGGTTGCACAAAAATGGCTCTTTGGATTATGATATAGGCAATATAAAGGAACTGTAGCACTTTAGGAGTCTTAAAGTAAATGAGCCACATATTCTATGTTTATCTCAGGGTGCAGCTACACTGTAGAAATGATGCAGTTTGGTACAGATTTGAACTGTACATCCTATGGAATCCTGGGATTCATAGTTTTGCACCATCTTTGGCCTTTTGTGCCAGAGTGCTTGTGCCTCACAAAATTACAAATCTCAGGATTCTGTAGGATGACACCATGGCAGTTAAAGTGATATCAGATGACATTATTTCTACACTGAAGATGCACCCTCAGTCATTAGTATGTACTGGAACTATTAGTATTATCTTCTCTGTTGTTGCTGTTAACTGCCTTCAAGTGACCATGTGAATGAGAAACCTCCAAAAAAAAAAAAACCTATTCTCAACCTCTCTCCTCAAGTCCTACAGGTTCCATTTACTTCCCTGATGAAGTCTAGCCATCTAGCATGCAGTCTTCCTCTCTTTCTATTGCCCTCTACCTTTCCTAGCATTATTGTCTTTTCTAACGAATGATGCCTTGTCATGATGTGACCAAATTACAATGGCCTCAATTTGATCATCTTAGCTTCCAGGGAAAGTTCAGGCTTGATATGTTTAAGGACCCATTTGTTTGTCTTCTTGGCTGTCCACAATATCCTCAGCACAATATCCAGAAGCACATCTCAGATTGCTTAATTTCCTCTCTATCTGCTTTCTTCACAGTCCAACTCTCGCACCTGTACATAGTAAAGGGGAATGCAATGGCTTGGACAATTCTAACTTTTGTGTTCAGTTGTATACCTTTCATTTTAGAATCTTGTCTAGTCCTTTCATAGCTGCCCTTCTCATCTCCAGTTTTCTTCTGGTTTCTTGATTGCAGTCTCCATTATGATCAAGGTTTGATCCAAGGTATGAGAAATCTTTAACGATTTCAATTATTCACTATCTCTGTTGAACACCCAAAGGGTGTTCAGCAATGACTCCTCTTCATCCTGGAGTGAAGTGACCAGTGGGGTGCCACAGGGTTCTGTCCTGGGCCCAGTGCTATTCAACATCTTGATCAGTTACTTGAATGAAAGAATAGAGGGTGCTGTAAGACCTCTCAGCTGCTTTTGACACGATAGACCATGGCATCCTCTTGGGTTGCCTGAAGGGGTTGGGAATTGAAGGCACTGCACTCCAGTGGTTCCATTCCATCCTCTCGGGCAGATCCCAGAGGGTGCTGCTCGGTGACAGCTGCTCCAGTAAAAGGGAGCTCACCTGTGGTGTGCCACAGGGTGCTATTCTGTCCCCTATTTAACATCTATATGAAGCCACTGGGTGAGATCATTCGGAGTTATGGAGCTGGGTGTTATCAGTACGCTGTTCACACCCAAATCTATTTCTTCATGTCTCATTCATTGGTCTCGAATTCTGATGGTGCCTCCTCTCTCAATGAATGTCTTCAGGCAATAATGGG